AAACTGACTCAAATCACCCCAAAAAATGACCAGAAACTGACCCAAATCTCCCCAAAAAAATGACCCAAAACTGACTCAAATCTCCCCAAAAAATAACCTAAAACTGACCCAAATCCCCCCAAAAAATGACCAGACAGTGACGGAAACCTCCCCAAAAAATGACCCAAAACTGACAAATTTCCCCCAAAAATGACCAAAAAATTACTTAAAACTGACTCAAATCTCCCCAAAAAATGAAAAAAAACTGATTGAAACCTCCCCCAAAAATGACCCAAAACTGACCCAAAGCACCCCAAAAAATGACCCAAAAATCACCCAAAACTGATTCAAATCTCCCCAAAAAATGAACAGAAAATGACCCAAAACTGACTCAAATCTCCCCAAAAAATCACCCAAAAAATCACCCAAAACTGACTCAAATCTCCCCAAAAAATCACCCAAAAAATCACCCAAAACTGACTCAAATCTCCCCAAAAAATCACCCAAAACTGACTCAAATCTCCCCAAAAAATGACCAGAAAATGACTCAAATCTCCCCCAAAATGACAAGAAAATGACTCAAATCTCCCCAAAAAATGACCAGAAAATGACTCAAATCTCCCCCAAAATGACAAGAAAATGACTCAAATCTCCCCAAAAAATGACCAGAAAATGACTCAAATCTCCCCCAAAATGACAAGAAAATGACTCAAATCTCCCCAAAAAATGACCACAAAATCACCCAAAACTGACCCAAATCTCCCCAAAAAATCACCCAAAAAATTCCCAAAACTGACCCAAATCTCCCCAAAAAATGTCCAAAAAATGACCGAAAATTGACACAAATCTCCCCAGAAATCACCCAAAACTCATCAAAATCACCCTAAAAATTGACCAAAAAATGACCCAACACTGACCAAAATCTCCCCAAAAAATGACTTAGAACTGACCCAAATCACCCCAAAAACTGACCCAAAACTGACTCAAATCTCCCCAAAAAATCACCCAAAACTCACTCAAATCTCCCAAAAAATTGACCAGAAAATGACTCAAATCTCCTCAAAAAATGACCAGAAAATGACCCAAAACTGACTCAAATTTCCCCAAAAAATGACACCAAACTCACCCAAATCACCCCAAAAAAGGACCCATGACTGAACCAAATCACCCCAAAATATGACCCAAAACTGACCCAAACCTCCCCAAAAAATGACCAGAAACTGACACAAATCTCCCAAAAAAAATCATCCAAAACTGACCAAAACCTCCCCAAAAAATGACCCAAAACTAACCCAAATCTTCCTAAAAAATGACCCAAAACCAACCCAAATCACCCCAAAAAACGACCCAAAACTGACCCAAATCTTCCCCAAAAAATGATCAAAAAATACCCAAAACTGACCCAAATCTTCCCAAAAACTGACCCTAAAAAGACCCAAATCACCCAAAAAAATCAGTTTTCCCTCTTGGAACTTGCTTATGGTTTTTTGGCCTCCAAGGCACCCTGGGGCAATGACTCGCGTAATGTGCGTTAAAAATAAATTGCTTTCCCTTTTTTTGGTTTAAAACCGTTGTCTGATCACTTCTGTGGGGGCATCATCGTCCCCTTGGGGCTACAAAAAAAAAGAGAAATTATTCTGCAGTTACTGCTCCAGCCTTGGGTTTGCACAGTCACCTCCTGTCCACACCACTGCTCCTCAGCTTCTGGAGGGAGAGATCCAGAGAATCACAGCAGACTTTGGGTTGGAAGGGACCTTAAAGATTATGTTGTTCCACCCCCTGCCACAGGCAGGGACACCTTCCACTAGCCCAGGTTGCTCCAACCTGGCCTTGGACACTTCCAGGGATCCAGGGGCAGCCACAGCTTCTCTGGGCAACCTGTGCCAGGGCCTCCCCACCCTCACAGCCAGGAATTCCTTCCCAATATCCCACCTATCCCTGCCCTCTGGCAGTGGAAGCCATTCCCTGTGTCCTGTCCCTCCATCCCTTGTCCCCAGTCCCTCTCCAGCTCTCCTGGAGCCCCTTTAGGCCCTGCAAGGGGCTCTCAGCTCTCCCTGGATCCTTCTCTCCTCCAGGGGAACCCCCCCAGCTCTCCCAGCCTGGCTCCAGAGCAGAGGGGCTCCAGCCCTTGGAGCATCTCTGGGGCCTCCTCTGGACTCTCTCCAGCAGCTCCATGTCCTTGTGCTGCTGTTCCCCAGGGCTGCAGGGGGGTCTCCCCTGAGGGGGCAGAGGGGCAGAATCTCCCCTTTCCCTGTTGGATCAGCCCAGGGCACGGGGGGTTTCAGGGCTGGGTCATGTCCACCTTCACCCACCAGCATCCCCAAATCCTCCCCAGGGCTGCTTCCCATCCCTTCATCCACCACGGATACCAGGGGTTGAACCGATCCAGGAGTGAGACCCTGCCCTCCTGAGGCTCCCAGGAGCTTGTCCAGGTCCCTCCCTCCGGAGGGCATCCCATCCTTCAGGCACGTTCACCACACCACACAGCTCGGTGTCACCCAGGGGAGATGCAACACGAGCACACCGAGCTCAGGACAGACAGAGCTCCAGAGCTCCCTCTGCTCAGACCTTCAGCTCCCTCAGAGAGCACACGATGATCAAGAGAAGGATCAAGTTTAAGCGATGCCAGAACACAAAACCACGTCAGACTGGCAGGGGAATACTGACAGTTTATTTCACAGAGCGTCGCAGAGTTTATTTTGGTCTAGCTCTAGTTTCATCAAAAAGTATCATCTTTTTTTATTTTTTTTTTCTTTTTTAAAGAAAAAAAAAGGTAGCAAATATTGGGGACGATAACGGTAACAGTCAGTGCATTACACGGGAAGTTTGGGTCTTGTTGTAAAAAAAAAAAAGAAAGAAAGGAAGAAGCTAATTGTGAAAACAACTCTTAGTTGGATTGATTTTAACACTTCCAAGCTTTTAAGCACTTCACCTCTCAATATTAAGTCATCTCCAAGGATAAAAACAGAACATGCAGGTGATTATCAACAGATGCTGAGATTTAACAACATCTCTCACTTGGCAATGACAATCCACCAGGAATGTTTCAATACAGCACCACATCAAAGGGAGAAGCAACTTAGTTCTCAAAATACCTTCAAATCCACCAAAAGTTCTGCAGAAAAAAAACCCCACACTGTATTTCACAGACTTGAGAGTACCATAGAGAGGGACTGTATTTGGGGGAGGTAAGAGGGAGCATGGACCAGGGTCTTATTACATTCATAAAACCCAGGCTAGACCCAAAGGAATTAAAGTCTTAATTTTAGGCCGTGCTTATCAGAGCATCACCATTCACATTTTCATTATCAGCATTTTTCCTTTCCACAGAAAAGTTGGCCACTTCTGCCCCCAATTCTTCCACACTAAGCCCAAAAGTTTAGTGTTTCAAACTGCTACTGGAGTACAGCTTTAAAAAAAACCAAACAACAAAAACAAACAAGGACAGAGCAGTTCAGTGCTGCCAAAACAAGGACAAACCGCTCAGGGCTGGTTTTATCCTGGCTTTGGGTGTGGGACGTGATGCACATCAGCACCTCCTCCTCCTGCTCTGCAAGGACCAGCTCCTTGTGTGCTGCACAGCCCAGCTGGGCCAGCACCCAGAGGCTCAGCTCCCAGGTTTTCAGAGCCATGGGAACAGGGAGAGCAGGGCAGCTCTGGAGGGTTCCTCACGTTGCTCACGGTGCCCACCAAGATCCGGCGAGGAAGGGAACAACCCAACACCGAGCCAAGAGCCATTCCCAGCTCCAGCAGCCTTCCAGCTGGCTTCAGCTCCTTGGGAACAGCAAAGTGACCCAGAAACAGGCTCCTCTCCACGAGGCCTTGAAGGTCCCAGCAGAGAGCTGAGACCGCCTCAGGGAGGGGATAAAATTCAACTGTCCCCAACTTGGTTTCTGAGCTTTTCTTTTCTTTTTTTTTTTTTTTTTAACTTTTAACCTCTGGTCTAGGATTTTGGTTTGAAGCCTTTTGCATTGGAAACACGCTGAGGGGAGCTCCTGCCTCCACGAGCCCCTCGGCATCTGCTGCAAGACCATCACTCCTTTGGAGGACACGAACGTGCAGCTTTAAGGATCCTGCCTTCAAAGCAAGGAGGAAAGGTCTCCTTGCAGGAATAATAATTATACTCTGGGGCTGCTTTGCCTTCCAAACTATTTACAACTCCTTCACCCGTGGGCACCTCGCTGGCCCAGAGAAGGGGAAGCTCACACTGCACCACCTCCCCTTGTGATGAGGGTGCAAGGAATGGGAAGCAGGGAGCGGCTGCAAACGCCACTTGGAGTGGCAGGCACTTCAACCAGATCCAAGCAGTGATGGTGCCCCTGGCATTGCTTTTCACAAGCCACCCGGGCCCCCCAACAGAGCCCAACTCGGGGAGAAGATGGAAAGAAAGAAAAAAGGGGGAAAAAAAAAAATCCAACCTGTTGCCAGCAGAGGCCAAACTCCAGCCAGCGCTCAGGATTTGCCTTCAAAACTGCAGCAGGACTTTTTGAAAAGGCCGTTCCCCATGGAGCATCCAGGCTTTGGGGAAGGAGGATGGGACAAGGAGAAGGTGCCCAAGTGACTGAGCCAGTGCAACCCCTTCCCTGGTTCTGAGCTTCAGCAGGGAAGGTTCCTCTCCCAGGAAAGCTTCTCTCCTCCAAACAGCCTCCTGGTGCATCACAGCTACAATTTAATTGCCCAGGAAAAAGGGAACGAGGGAGAAACAGAAAAAAACCCCATAACAAAATCAACACTTCACAAGAACACCACAACGTTCAGCTACACAGTCGCTGCACCAAGGGAAGGGTTGGGGAAGGGCAAGGGGGAGAACAGGGACACACGTCCAACATGTTCCCAGAACCCCCAAGGGGACTCAGGCTTTCACATCAAGATTCAAATACCTCCAGCCATAAGGTTGAGGGTTTAATAAACACGGTATTTCCACTCATGCCCTGGAAAAATTACACTCAAAAAAAAAAAAAAACAGACAAAAAAAATTCGAATTTTCTACATATGTACAAAAATAAGCCCCCCAACCTCGCAACCAGGGAGGTGGAGCAGTTAGTGGTGGGGTATGGGAAGGGGTCTCTGCCCGACCAGCAGTTCCTCCAGGGTTCCCATCCCACAGGGAGCAGAAGAGCACGGCTCTCACTGCCAGGGAGCACACGGGGCTGGCCCAGAGCCCCTCAGTTCATCCGCAGCTTGGAGTCCCGGGGGTCCGTGGGGGTCAGGATCTCATTGGCAAAGCCATTCTCAGAGCAGAAGGACAACTCATCCGTGGGCTCCACACCGTTGTTGATCTCTGGGAAGGGCAGAGAAAGCGGGGATATCATCCCTGAACACCAATTTGGGATGAATCCCAGAGTGGTTTGGGTTGGAGAGGACCTTAAAGATCATCTCGTTCCAGCCCCCTGCCCCGGATGAGCTCAGCCAGCCGGGTCAGTGCAGCCGCCCCGAGGCACGAGCAGCTCCTCCCCCAGCAGGGTGGCACTGAGGGGAGCAGCCCAGGGCCACAACCAGCCCCTACCTGAGAAGATGAGCTTCTCCTTCATGATCTTGACGTCGCGGCTGGAGCGGCGCACGGCGGCGCTGAGCATGATCTGCTCCGGGTTGTAGGTCCTGATGCTCCCCAGGCGCCACCTGCGAGGCGGGAGAGGCAGGTCAGGGGTTGGGCCCCCCCCAGATGTGGGAGCATTTTAATGCAAGTGGCCACCACCACCACCACCAAGCCCCAGAGCCCCCGAGGCCTTTGCTCCCTGGCACCGACACAGCCCCCCACGGCAGGAGGATGTTGGGGGATGAGCGTGGCATCTCACGCGTGTTAACCACCTCTGGCATCCCAATCCCACCAAGGAATTACACCCAGGGACCGATTTCACCCAGGGCTGCAGCTGCCCCACAGCCCTCTCCAGCTGCCCAAAGGATGTAGGGGCAGTTTAACTCTCAGGGAACAGAACAAGGCACTGAGCCAAGTAAAGAATCCAGAACCTTTTCCTCACCCTCAGGCTTGTGGGAGAAGGGACCTCAAGCTGCTCAAAGGCAACCTGAAGTCTCAAAACTGAGACACAGCAAGGAAATGGTCTCAAATTGTGTCAGGGGGTGTTTAGACTGGCTATTAGGAAATACTTCTTCCCCTAAAGGGTTGTCCAGCCCTGGCACAGGCTGCTGCTTAGGCCAGGCTTTCATAGCCCACCCCCCACACCCACTCCTCCTGCCTCCTGACCACAGAGGAAGCCTTTCAGTTAAATCCCATTCTCCCTGCCAGATCCAGGCACCCCATAAAGCTATTTGATGGGGATGCAGCAGGGATTTAGGGTGGCTTATGGGCTCTCTGATCTTCTGGCACCATCTAGTGGCTCACCCACACAGGAGAAGGTGATTATTTATTCATTTACTTATTTCTGGGTGCCAATCACTTTCTCTAACCCGGCCCCAGGAGCAGAGCATTTGAGGAGCTCACAAGTCTGCAGCACCAGCCTGACAAAGCCACGACGACAAAAGAGCTTCTGCAATTTTTTTTTTCCAGGAAACTCTAGCTGGTGTCAATTCCTCGGGGTTTCCACCCCCTTCCCAAATCCCAGTGGGTGACACTGCACCATCAGGCTTTGACCAGGGCATGGATGAAGGAGGATGCTACAGAGAAAAGGACGGGTGGGATGGCAACACAACACAACTCACAGACCCACGGACAGAAGCAATGCAGAGGAAACACACAGGAAACACAAAGAGGCAAAGACATTAAAGTATATATAAAAAAAAATAAAAAATTAAATTTTTCTTCCATCATCATCATCATCTAAACTGAGCCACTCTGACCTGGAAGAAGAGCATTTTTGGCCTTAGTGGGATCTGCCTGCAAGGGACACTGAGGTCAACGTGGTTGCAAGACCTCACAGGGTAAGACCCTCCTTAAACTACAAATCAGGACCAAAACACGCCACTACAACATCGAGTCTTTTCTCTGCCCACACACCAGGATTCCCAGCACCAGGCTGGGCTGTGTGGCCAAAAGGCAGGGGGATCTATCTCATGCCTGTCCCAGACACCCCATGGAGAGCGTGGGTCATTGTGAGGCACAGAGAGCCCAGACTCCAAGGATTCCAGGGACTGAGGGCGTTTCTCCTCCTGCCAAGAGGGACAAGCACTGCTCTCTGCTCTCCATCTCCCAGGGTGGCTGTGCTCACACCCAGGGTGGGAAAACACGCACGAGGAGGTGATGCCTCCTCTCACAGGGGTGCCTTGCTCTGGGTGGACAAGCTGGGAGAGGGTAACCCCATTTTTCAGGGGTACTTTGAAACACCCTCTTGGAAGAGCCACGAGTACATTTAACCACGGTGCCGCTCCAACCAACACCAAACGCTCCGTGCTGTGCCCAGCAGCCTCTGGGTCTCCAAAAAAAAGCTGGTTTAATAGAAAATAGCACCTCTCCTACCCCCTTGGGCTGTGTTGTGCTCGACCAGGTTTGGGACAGCAGCGTGCAAAAGGGCCAGAGAGGCAGCAGGAAGGTCCTGTTCTGGGAGGTTGGCGGCAGAGCAGACCAGACGGACACGGGGTGGGAACAGACTAAAAAATACTGGGACAACAACACAGAGACAGCACACACCGTGTTAGGGCCACAGCCGGAGCCCTGGGTGGGAGGGGAGATGCTAAAATGGCAGGGAAAAGGGTGGGAGAGGGGCGGGCAGGTCACCAGTGCTGAGGAGAGAAGATGGAGCGAGCACAGAGCCAAGCCAGCCACAACCAGGGTCCCATCCTAAAGCCTGCCCAGCTCCTCCATGCCTGCCTTCTCCTTATCCATGAGCCAGGGAAGGAGGGGGAGCTGGAAAAGGGGAGAACACCCAAGTCCCTGCAGCCAGGCCCTGTTTTGGGGACATGCCACACCCCGAGTGCCAGGCACCGCTTGCTGGTGGCCAACCCTGAGGCTGGGGGTGGGCACAGGGAGGGTAAGCACAGACAGGGAGCGACCAAGCCCTCGGGAATCCGACCCCAGGGCACACAGCAGGAGGAAGGGAGGAGGGAACACGGGGACAGTTTGGTCCGAGGAGGGACACGGCGAAGGCTTTACTGCAGGACAGCGACAGCGACTGGGGAGGGAAAGGAGAGAAAGCTGGGTTCCCAAGTGATGGCACTTCAAATCCAGCATCCCAGGCTCGTTCCCTTCCCAAGGGCAATGCTCTCTGTTTTCACGCTGCCTTTCCAGTTCCGCAGCGGTGTAACTGGGATGAGAGACTCCTAGAAGGTCCCAAGCTCTGAGTGCAGCCAAACCTTTCCAGCTCTCAGCCCTCCTAAATCATTCCCAGGGCCAGAGGAGGGCTACTGTGTATCACTGAACAGGTTACATGATTTTCTTGAGAATGGGCCAATTTAGAAGAGGTTGGTCTCAAAAACCTCTGGCAAATACAGGAAGGAAGGGGCTGTTTCGCATGGGATTATTCCCATGGAGAGAGCATTCCATCCACTGGGAATTTCCCAGTTACAACGTGCCACAGGGCTGTTTTAAAAGGCAGTGACTTAAGACCACTGCCACAGAAGGTCAGATTGCCTTCAAAACACCCTCTGGCTTGAGCATCAGATGCCTGTGGTGCTGGTGGCTGTGGACTGCCCAGTGCTCGACCCCTCCTGGTCCCCCCACAAAGCCAGATGTCTGAAAGCATCGGGAAAAGCTGCATCCTACCCTGTCCATCTGCAGTGAAGCCATAGCAGAGAGGGAGAAAGAAAGAGAGAAAGGAAGGTTGAATGAAAAAGAGAAGGAGGAGGAAAGCACCAGAATTACCTGATCATGTGATAGCTGTGAGATGCCAGAATGCAGCAGAGAGAGAAAGAGGAGGAACATGCACAACAGTCAGAGCAGTAAGAGAATAAACAAGGCAAAGAGGCAAAAAAAGGTTAGTTAGAAGTCATCCCAGTTGGTATTCCCCCTCTGGAGAGGCTGCCACAGTCCTGTCACCGGAGCAGAAGAGCAGGAGCAATCCCTACCCTACGGAGGAGAGAAGCCATGCGGAGGACACAGGACGAGCACATCGAAGCGGTGGCTCTGCTCCCACCCACCCCCTCGTCCCTGCAGCAAGGGAGCAGCTCTGGTTTGCACCAGAAAGGACTTGGGAGGAAAAACAACCAACAAAACCAAACCAGACCAACAAAACACCCCCCACACACAACCAACCATGACCCTGAAGGCCAAATGCCAAGCCCCGTTTCCCGGAGCTCCAATTCTGTTGTGATTCGGTTTTGATTTATCCTCAGCCCTGCTACAAACTCTTTCATGTGGTGGAGAAACTGGAGCATCAGGGGAATGGGTCTGTCCTGCACAAGGCTCTTGGAAGAGCAAGTCCAACTTCTGGTAATAGTCTCTCTTTCTTCCTTCTACCGACTTGGGGTTGAGTTGTCCCAAGGGAGAGATCCAAAAGAAGACATTTGGCCCCGCTATGATGAACCCCACATGGCCAGACCTCTCTGAGCAACTGCCTCCCTGTGTCAGGTCCAGAGCTCACTGCTCCAGGGGGATGGATCCTGGGAGAGCTGGGGGCATTTCCAGCTCTTCCCACCTGTATCACACTGAGGGTGGAAGAGAAATCCTGCAATAATGCTTTCCTTCCTTACCCTGTTTGCTCTTCCCCTACTCCATCAAATCTCTTCCAAGCTGGAAGAGCTTCCATCTGTGCAGAGGAGTCCAGCTATGGCAGAGTCCACGTAGTTGTGACTTCTCCCTCCCCAAGCATCACCTCACTCTGCTCTGGGACCTCTAGTTCCCACCCAGCAGGTTGAATCAGTTGAATTCCTCCACCCTTGGCCTCCTGGTTCTGAATCAGGAAAACCTTCTAAAACTGACTCTGGGAGATGAGGCCAAAGACCACAAATATCTCATCAACTTGGCCTTCAAACTGTGCTCTTCAGAGAGGTCAGTCCCTGCTTCCAGACTCTCTGTGTGTTTGGGTATCCAGCAGAGAAATATAAGGTCTAAAGATCAGGGACATCCCCATGAAGCCCCCTGATGGATTTGAGGGAGTGGAGGACACTTCCAGACATCACAGCCCCAGTGCCCTTCTGGAGGAAAGGTTCTGCCACGCCCTCATCAAACCCTTGCTCTCTCTTTTCTTTGGAAAATGGACTTTCCCTGTGCATTGAACTAAGCAGCTGATTTGATCTGCTCTATCATAACGTGTCCCTTAATAACTCCCTACTCAAGGAGTTTGGAACTAGGTGATCTTCCAACCCAAACTATTCTGGGATTCTGTAACATTTCTATTTCTTCTTCCTCCAAACAAGAACAAACTGATTTAAGAAAAATATAACGTGTTCTTTTTGAAGACTCTCACGGTGGAATCTCAAAACCCCCCTACTCTTTTTCCTACAAAGACATTTTAATGTCTTTCTCAATGTCCATTTCCCTAAAGCATTTGCAGTTTCTCTTCCACATGTGTTTAAGAGCAAAGCAAGGCATCTATTGCTGCTATTTTGAGATCTCTCGTGCTTTTTAAAAGGTGGCAGCAACTGCCTCCAGTTCTGTATCAACATCTTGGGAGTGGAATTATTGTTTGGATCTTCAGGTGGATTTTTAAATAAACCTTTCCCTGCTATCACAGTCCAAGCTTTGAGGAGCAGAGCCTCTCTCCCATCTCCACCCCAGGCTCTGGGCAAAAACACACGTCACAAATGCACGAGAGATGAGCTGTAACAAGGCTACTTACTTCTGGAATATAAAAACTCCTATAATTATGATAAATGAAATGAGATCAGACGTGATCCAGATTAGGTGGTACTCGTCTGGAGGCTGCAAGACAAGAAACAGAAGCAGACCTTAAACCTTCTGGTTTGTGCAACCACACAAAGAGACCACAGGTGGCTGAAGTCACCACCAAGGAGCAAGAAAAGCACAGAGCTGCAGGGGTGGGGTGTAAATCACAGCGTTTATGACCTTCCCAAGGCCAGGCTGTCATCCAGAATGATGTTATCAGGAAAAACTACCAACGGGAACAGTGTTAAACCCTCCCTCCTTTCGTGTGCCGACATTGGCTCCAAAACAGCACCTTAAACCCAACCAAACCCTCCTGGAAAACCCCACTGGACATGTGGTGGGCAACACCTCTCCACTGCATCCCCTCCTTCCAGGGGCCCCTTCCCAGCCTTACCATGAGCCAGATGGGGAAAGGCACCTTGCGGAGGACGTGGGAGCTGTCGGAGGTGACCGAGGGGACCCCGGTACACCAGAGGATGGAGAACAGCCAGGGCTCGTTCACCGTGTACAGGTTCACACTCAGGTTGGCCATGGCATAGTCCCTGCCAGAAGAGACACACAGGGTGACATGCAGGACCCTCCCCAAAGCTCGGAGCCTCAGCTCCCAGAGCAGAGCCCCTGCCACCCCCACGGCTGGGAGCACAGACCCAGTCGCTTGGAATTGCAGGAAATGTTTTTCTAACACTTCTTAAGCAACCCAAAGGCCCTGCAGCCCAAAGGTTTGAACTCCAGAGCTTTCTTGCCCTCTTGGCTGCTGTCTGACCCAGCCCAAAAGCTTCCCCATGAACGAGGGACGTGGAGTGTTCTTGTGACAACCACCTCGTCAGGCTGATGTAAAATCAGCGTCTGGCTCAGAGGCCTCTAACAATTCACAGGCAATTTGCTTAATTAAACACTGACAGACCTGCCTCCACCATCAATTCCTACGACTTCCACGCCCTGGTTTTGGGGACAGTGGCAGGTCACAGCTTCCAGTTTCCCGAGGGCATTTTCCAAGAAGCTACAGCTGCAAAGTGGGGGTCCAGCACCAAACCAGGCACTGGCAGCGACTCCCTGGGCCCCAGATTTGCATAACTGCTCTGTTTCCTTATCTGTGAAGAAGAAGCATCACTAATCCCCCTCACCCCAGCAGCACAGATTAATCCCTGCAATTTAATATTGGCAAAGCACTTGGAGGTGGAAGGTCACAGGACAGGATGTGGACACAGCTCAAAGCTGCTCCAGAGGGATGCTCAAGGGCAGAGGTGGTTGTCACAGCAATGTGACATCCAGGTGCTGATTCTGGGGGAGATTGAGAGCACTGTGTTGAACCAGGACTGCAGCAATGTTTGACCGGGCACCACGAGGTCTTCAGGGTTCAGGAAGCACTCAGGGTCTGATCTGGGAGACAGCTCAGGGGGGATTGATGGGAGACTGGCATAGGGCTCTCTCCATGGGATACAGCAAATACACAGGGGGAAAACCAGGCAGGAATTATCCCACAGGTAAAGCTGGCAGCCAAGGAAGGACACCATGGATTATGTTAAATAGGGCTGTGCTCTCAAACAGCCACTGGCTCAGCTCTTCCCTACTTCCAGCTCAAACACACAGCAAGGCAGCTCCTTTGGAGATACATATTGTTTAGTTTTCAAGCATTTAAGCTTCAAAAAACAGAAAAGCCCTACTAGAAACAACCTGCCCTCCCTGAGAAAGGGGGCAAAGCTGGAGCCAACACACCCCACGGTGCAAATACAGCAGAGGAGCCCACCCTGTGCCTGTCTCATTAAAGAGATGAGCTGATCAGCCTGAAGAGCTGATACAGGACAGGAAAGAAATGGGTGAATTCTCTGCAGGGAGACATTTCTGAAAGCGTTTCCAGCCTTTGGACTAATGGAAATTCTGTGGGAGCAGCTCTGGAGCAGACGAGCAGAAGCAAAGGGCAGCTGCTAATGAGGATGGAACAGCACTTGGAGTGAACAGCCTCCACTTCCTCCCAGAGCTGAGAGCGTAATAAGAATCAGCCAATTCACACATCTGTATTTCCAAGAGGACCAACACACACTGAATTAGCACGTAGAGGTTGTCACAGGCAGCTGGGCACCCCCAGGAACAGCCTGGTTGGGTTCTGGGTCACGGGTGGGGAAAAGCTTGCACAGCTCGAGCTTTCGAGAGCAAGTCCCTCTGGAAGGAAACCTCTGGGCAGACAGGAGAGCCCGGGATGGCGAGGAAAGGACACACTCAGGGCACGGGGTTGCACGTGGGCAGCGTGCCAGCAGGGCTGTACCTGACATCCTCGCTCGTCACCTTGGTGTAGCGCAGGTTGAGCTTCACGATGCCCTTCTCCCTCAGGCTCTCCGTGTCCAGCTTGAGGCCGGAGGTCTGCTGGAAGCCCGGGGCCACCTGCCTGACCAGCTGCCTCTCCGTGTCCGGCAGCCACATCACCTGGATGTGGGACAGAGCACAGGCCATGGCCAAGGGGTCCCCTTGGAACGCGAGGGACTGCCTCGTCTGCCACACTAATTGTCTGGGAAACACAGCCTCCCACACCTCTAGGTGGCTGGATGGGATATTGGGGAGGAATTCTGCCCTGGGAGGGTGGGGAGGCCCTGGCACAGGTTGCCCAGAGAAGCTGTGGCTGCCCCTGGATCCCTGGAAGTGTTCAAGGCCAGGTTGGATGGGGCTTGGAACAACCTGGGCTGGTGGAAGGTGTCCCTGCCCTTCCAACCCAAAGGTCCCTTCCAACCCAAACCAGTCTGGGATGCTGTGATTGCTGGGAATTATCACATCCCTACATCTCTTGGCCACCCCACCATCAGCACACCCCGAGGTGCTGTCAAGTCCCCTCACTGCTGCATCAGCCACCACTCTGGGAGGCTTTCAGAGGCCCATCCCAGTCCTCCCCAGCATGACATCCTAGCACGGGGTGACATTTCCAACCAGCTGTCCAAAGTGAATCCCCCAAGGATTGATGCCCAAATGGAGACGCTCGAGGATTCAGGGAAACCACAAGGAAGGCAGTTTTGGAAACACCACCAACCCCCCCAGAACTCACAGCCTGCTGCCGAATTCCCGATGCCAGGATGGTTTCCAGGGTGATGTTGATGTAAGTGCTGTAGTAGGGGTGAGCTGATGGCAGGTCCTGGAAGTTCAGGATGAGTGATGTGTTGTCCTTGATCACCTCCAGCATGTCCTGCAGCTTGCAGACTGACTGGTTGGCAGCTTCCAAGTAGTCAGACCTTGAGAGAGACCCCACTGTCCAGAAAGGATCATTCTGAAAGCAAAGCACATCCCAGTATCACTGCCACAAAGTCCAGACTCCTCCAGGCTGAATTCCTTACTTTTTCTCTGTGAAGATTACTGTCTCCAAAAGGAAATTCAAGAAAAAGCTTATAACACACTGTCTTTTCTGCCCTCTTTATAATCACCTTCACCCTCCTGGGGGTCTTGAAGTTCTTTCTGGTGTCAACCAGGAATTAAGGCCCCTTCTTTCAGGTGGCACAGAAAGACAACATGCCTTTTAGACCAAGTTTAGTAGAGACAAACTACACGTGGCTCATGGACACTTGGTCTCGCTGCACTTGGGCCCACAACACCAAGGAGATGTGTCATCTCCACCTTTCTACCTCCAACAGGACTTAGGCACGAGCTGTCACGCCCTGGCCACGGTACACACCTGAAGGAACCACTCCCCAGCGTTGAGCTTCTCCAGGTCAGTCCAGTTGAACATGGAGGAGTGCTCGTAGGCCCGCTCTGGGAACACCTCCTCCACGTTCGTGGTTCTCCTGAGTGTCCTGTCGTGCATCAGGAAGGGAACTCCATCGTGGCTGCAAAGGCAGGGGGGCCCTGTTACAGGAGGAGGGGCACAGCCACGCTCACAGCAGGAGAGAAGTGCCCCTTCCCACTCCAGCCTCCCTCAAAAACACGTCAAAACCACTGCCAAGGTCTCAACCAGCTCGACACCCCCCAGCATCCTCCAGAGCAGCTGAGGTGCACCCTGAGGAAAACATCTCCTAGATACCTGCTGGATGTCAGCAGCCACTCATACATGACACAACCCTGCCCATCCCTCACCCATCCCTCCATCCCACCTCCCCACTATCCCCTCAAAAACTTCCAGACTGTCAAACTCGGGCAGCTTGGACAGGAACTCCCACCCTGAACGCTCACGGGAACCAAAGCTCAGCACCTGCAGCTCCCCAAAACATCCAAGGTTTTCCCGGATGCAGAGACAAACACACACAAACTATCCTCAAAGTGTTCAGAGCAGATGATGAGTGAGATTTTCAAAGGCTCTCAGACTAGATGTGAACATTAAGGCTTTCAGGCAAGATGCAAGGATTCCAAACTACCAAAAATGCTCTGAAACTGCCTTTTCCAATTGAAAACTGGTTTCAGGAAACAGCCCTGCCCACGTGAGTTGTTAAGTTCATGCACCTTGAAGAAAACACAACTCTCAGATGAAACTAAACAGCCAAATGCAAGCCCTGGGTTTTTAAAGTCACCTGGATATTACAGAACAAAGGTTCTGGGAAACACAAAAAATGCTTTAGACTTTCCTCCACCCAATTTTCGGTGCCCAGCTCAGTGGTGACCCCACACAGGGCAGGGATGGTTTCTATCAGGGGCAGGGGGACAGCTGTCTGCACTCAGAAATCAGGACAAAGCCAGCCTGATAACAATGACATTTTCCAAAGCAAAGAGCCCATCTCCAGAACAGGAGACTCAGATAAGGCTTGGAAAAGGGGTGGGATGAAAATACAAATGCATTTGAATTAGGGGACAACCCAGAGCACCCACCCCCCAGAGCTCTAGGGAAAATGAAACCCAGTTTTAGATGATGGAGCAAATGTTGCCTGAGCTTTACCAGTGCCTGTAGAAGTCCCTTATCACAGAGGTCACTGATATCTTTATTTGCTGTTTCCAGCAATGTGCTGGGCCAACACTTCCCCCCAGCCCACAGCAACACGCTGACACAGCAACCCCATGCTCAGCACACCACTCTCCTGAAGTCAGGAGGCATTTTAATAAATACAGTTAAGAAAGAAATAGAAAAACAAAAGAAAAGATGCTAAACAAGTGCAGAGTGAAGAGTGTGGCGTGTTTAAGGGTCACAGGAGCTCGAGTCTTAACATCTCATCAGACACCACTAAGTCCTTCCCACAGTGTGGAAACCCATGGGGCAATTAACATTTGCTCCCTTCCTTTCCAATCCTCCCCACCACGGAGTCACTCAGCACCACTCAAGGTTAACCACAAGGTATTGGCAGGCAGGGGTTTGAAACAATAACTCAGAGACAGGAACTGGAGCTTTAGAAGAAGAGATGTGGGAGGGGGGAGGAGAGAGAGAGAGAGAAATAGGAACAGCAGCGATGCCTGGAGCAAAGTTGGCTTTAGAACCAGGGCCACTGCTTTGGGATGTGTGAGGGGCAGGGAGCAGGGTGGGATGGGTCTGAGGGGATGCCCAAGCTGCCCACCCACGGCTGATACCTGCCTACAAGGGCACGGAAACATTCCAGGAGGGATCTCCCTGGCTGGGGGGACCCATCCAGCCACAGGCACAAGGAGCATCTTTCAGAGGGGTGAGGACAGCAGTGGGTGTGGTGCCACGACCCCCTCCCAGGAGTGCTGCCAGCTGCATTGCCATCACTTCTGCAGTCTGAAACTCAATGGAATCCTCTTTTCCTAAAGGCACTTGTGCTCCCAGAGAAGGGTCAGGTAATTGGGCCATCAAGAGCATTGTTCAAGGAGTGCTCCTCTGGGATGGCTGAGGAGAGGCAGTGTGGAGAGCTCTTGGAGCTTTTCCAGCTCTCCTCCTCCCAAAAGTCCACCTCTCTCCTTGGCCAGTGTTAATGGAAGTGACTGGTTCAGCCACATGAGCCAAGTGCTCATCTGTGAGCTGGGCACTCGAGTACTTGTCCCTTCCCAGCAGCTACTGAACTAATTTTGGAAAGAACAGGACTTGTATAACACACATCCCAATTCAGACTTCACCCTTCCACAGTGACCTTCCGCTCCCTGGTGGGAAGAAAGTCCTTTGGTTTGCAAATCATTTTCTCTCAAAAAAAAATTATGCAAGGTAAAAAGAGAGCAATTAACAATTAAACTTCCCCCCACCAGGCAAAAACATCTTTCCATCAACATAAACCTCCAAAGCAAGTCAAGGAAAAAAATTAAAACATCTGCTTTGAGTCTTTGTTGCATTTATAACTGGAACTGAGACAAAGTGAGGGATCACCAAGAGCCAGGTTGGAAAGCAGGTGCTGTATCTCACTGTGATAAAACAAGGATAAACTCCAGCCTTCCTGCAAATGGAGATTAGTTTGGGCACAAAGGGATCCAGGTTCCCCCATCTGGACAAATTCACCTTTCACCACGATCTGAGGGAAACAATTAGGAGCATCTGTGCATTACAAATGGAGACAGGCAGGAGTTACTGGATGTGGGAGACACGAGGGAGTTATTGGATGTGGGAGACACAGGAGTTATTGGATGTGGGAGAC